CTAATGCATGAAAATCCTAACCTCAAAAAAATCACCCGTTAGCAAATTAAGCACAACGTTAACAAAAATTATACAACCACTCTTGAAATGTGTTCAAAAGAATAGAAAGAATTTTGTGTTTGTATTGCAGGTGCCGGAAAAGTGATAATATCTTGTCGCAGCGCATGTTTTCCTGCACAAAGTGGTCGATGCTTGCTTACCTCCGATTTTAATTTGTAAATTGTGGTATTTCAACGTTTTCAACTTAACATGTCGTGTTTAAAAGTGGTGCTTTCAATTGTATGTGGGCTGGTGTTGCTGTTTGAGAACTGTGAAGCTGTGGAAGCTTTTGACAAATCTCCAAAGGACCAAAAGGAAAAATCAACTAAGTTGCCGCCTTGTAAATCATGCACTGTGCTTGTGGAATCATTTAATTTGGTGAGTGCGTGGCAGTAATAACAAATTTGTGTCGTATTAATATAAACTTTGCTTACAGGGTTTGGAAAAAATAAGTCGCGGCAGGCATGCCGGTGGTGATGCAGCTTAATTTCCATATTTTCCATAAATGAAGTGGTGCTTTATCATGCGCGGAATGCACTTAAAGGCATGGTACGTCCTCAGAGTTTAAAGATTTGTCAATTCCAAATCAACACGGGCTTCATACCGGAACAAGAAACATTGATAACATTTTCCTCGAATGATCTCGATGATTTACCGGATGCCGATCAGGTTCCTCATGACTTTTAGGTTTCGCTGTCGTTGAGTTTCACGGATAACGAATTTCCGCCGAGTAGGAATCCTCCTTGGTTACCAGCAAAGCCCATAAGAAACGCACAACATATATTTAGTTCGCAATTAGAATTCGAGGAAATGGTGGATAATTTCGGCAAGTCCCTATAGTATTTCCGCCCATTTCAATTATTTATTTATTTTCCTTACAACAGTGACAAAACCTAGTTCGATCAACAAACCTACGCCTGTTAGGTCAGCTGCTTCCGTAGATAACGCCTATTTTACCAGATGCTACCGAAATAAAGCAAGAGGATGTACCTCGAATCCAACCTCAACCATCACCACCAATAGACATGCTCAATTTAAACCAGCCCCAACCCCAGCTGCCGGTGCAAGATCCACAAGCCACAACGAGTGTCGCTAGTTTCGATTTGCTTGGAGCATTCGGGGATGATAATTCATCTGGCATTGGCTCGGCTCCAATACCTGATATTTTAGGTAAGGATTCGGTAGATTCAAAAAAAGTCTTAGACTTTTAGGCGGCCATCCAAATTAATATTTGCTAAGTTCTGAATAGAGACCTACATTTCTATTTTAGAAATTAATGTACAACCAAGTTCAAATGTCAACCTTGATGATATCTTCGGCTCAGTTGCTTCATCGGCGCCGAAAATCAACCTGGAGTTTAATAGTTTTTCTGTAAACCAGCCGACACCAACTAGTGCAAACCAACCTGGTGTATTGGTGTGTGTCACGTCAGTCTCAGCAAAATAGTCTTGCATCAACAACCAGAGCTCAGTACGTCATAGTTATTTTTCTTCTCTGTTTTTGGAAGCTAGTGCAATGAGGTATAGTTTTAATAAACATTTATTCGATTTGAAATTTTTACTACTATAGTCTTTATTTTGCAGTATATTATATACATATATTTGCAGTATATTATATTTTCATTGATCCGCTTAGTTAAGTTTAACTATAACGAAGCAAAATGATGTGTAAAACTAAGTAATTGCTTTTAAATCTAAGTAAAAAAACATACATTTTAAATGACAATTATTAAAAAGATACATGCATACATATATACGTTAAGAACATAAATATATATAGGATATAAAATTAATCTCTTTGTCAACTTAATTGCGGCCCTGAAAAGGGCCTCTTGTTGATTGGTATATATGTATTTATCTAAGCATAAAATTTTAATCTCTTTGTTAATTAATTGGCGGCCCTGAAAAGGGCCTTTGTATAAATCATATTACTTGCCTGCAAATAAATAAGTTTATATTTGTATAAAAGACGCTTGATGATTTTTTAAAACTAGGGACTTACGTAGCATGCAAGTATTTTAATTTTAGGAGTCTGAAATACTGAGATCAGTGCGTGTGAAATGCGGACATTGATTCATGCTGCAAGTAAAGAACGGTTAATTTCTACAAATTTAAAAACGCTTTAGTTCAAAACTTACCACATGTTTGGTATTTTATGCAATACTTACGGTTCTATAATGGTACCATATGGATCGATCTAGGTCAGAGTTTTTTTGGCTTTTCTTTTTCTTTTGTGGGCATTTTCAACGAGTTCTTTATTTAATTTTCGTATTTTGAAGAACATTCTTGCCCTGAAAAATAATTTTTTTACTTTAATGTCGCATTGAATTGTTGCAGCATGCTCAATGTGAGTTTTTACAAAATCATTTGTAATGAGCAAGCCATCTTCGTTCAATGCCTTAAAGACTGACTCAAGACTTCGCATATGGACCATCATAGAGGAGCTTGGTGGGGATAACCCACCCTCATTAAGGTGATCCGCCCAGGAGAATGAATGGTCGTCATTGCTCCTGAACGACGTGCTGGGAATGTCATCCTGCAGCTTGTGGCAAATATATCCCGCTAAATGCTCGAGTCCGTCTAGCTCCAAATCCTCGAATTCCGCTTCTTCAACCGGCCACAGTTCTGCATTAGAGCTTAAGTTTTTCAGCAAAATACCTGTAAATATGGTGAAATATATATGTGCGATTATTAATAAAATATATTTTTATATTTAAGCCGAATGAAATAGATAAAAAATTATTTTGAATTACTTGTAAGCGGAGGCTGCGTGATTTCTATGTCAGGCGTATCATCCTCTTCTACATTAGCAGAATCGGAT